GAGAAAAAACGATTAACAATGAAAATTTTAAAAGTTTTTAAAATAACAAAAGGAAATGTTTTGATCAGTTTAGATAGTTTTTTTGCTTTCTATATTATTTTTATTAGTGGCTTCAATTTTACGATATTGACAACAAATAAAGCAGATATTTTACTGTCACTGCTATGGTAATTTAAGGAAATTTGAATTTATCCATCAATTCTTTTCTGTTTATTATTATAGTGAATCGGTAATAAAACTATGGTCTAAATAAATGATAATGTCAAAGAGAACAGAATTCATGCCTTCTCCAAGGCCATTAGTGTACAAGTGATATAAGCAGTCTCAAGTGAGATAGATTTGCTAATTCCATTTTCTGGGACAATAACAATTGACATTTTACAACGATGTTTATATAACACAAAGCATTAGAATAAACATTCTATTAAAAATGTTCTAGACATTCTGGTCTACAGAACAAATCATATAATATGATAGATATTGACTTGCAATTTTAAGTAAAAAAAATGGCCAACCCCTTAACTGCTGTGGTTAAGAAAATGGCTCATGCTAGAAAAGCTAATTTGAAGAAAAACTAATTTTCAGGAAGTTTCTGTTATCTGAAGAAACTAGCAGCATGGTCCGGCGTTGCCCGTGCTTGATTCAAAAATCGTACGACTCATACAGCAATCGCTATCACTTGACTTAAAATATTTTTGCCCTTCCTTGCCTTTAAAGGAGTGCCCTTTGCCGTGCTGATGTTTCTACATGTCTTACTTCTTGCCTATCTCACACTATGAATTTTTTCTAAGCTCTATCCTAAACATTAAATCTGTTATGAAAAAAGAATTAAACAAAATGAACACAAAACGATCAGCTTTTAAAAAAGGGCTCATAACTGGAAAAACCGAATGAAAAAAGAATGTTAACAATAAATACTTTTTCACACCCAACCCAGTTCTGCGGAATCAGAATCAATGTTGAGTTTAAGCAAGTGAATGAGCCAATTGGAGTAAAGTGCCATGCAGATTTAAATTTTTCCCACTTGTGACGAATGCAGCTACTGATTTTTTTTGCATGCTAGCATGCTAGTTAACATTCGTGTCAATCAGCTGTTGGCTCTCACACTGGCCAATAGAATCTTCCTGCCTATTCGTTGCAGCCAGCTATAGGCTCTGACTCTGGCCAGTACAAAATGGCTGCAAACTGCATGAAACCTGCCGTAGAAGCATGAAAAAAATTGATTATTTCCACTATCGATGGGAGTTGGGAAATGCAAAGTCAGTCTTGGCCTTCCCGCTAACTTGGAGCATGTGCATGTAAATTTTGGTGCAAATCCTTTGAAAATTGCGGCCGTGCATTCGTTACACACACACACACACACACACATCCTGCATTTTATAGATAGCGATTAGAATTCTGCTTCTTGAGAAGAATTAAAAAATCTAATTAAGTAAATTAATCTGAGACAGGATTGATTTAGAATTGGCAAGATATTTCATATTTGTCTTTAATAACCAGTAAAGAAAAAAAAAGAAGGTATTGTATTGCAGGCTGATTAATCTTCATGTCTTCTGTAAGCAGATATTCACCAACAATCAGAGTGATGATCTATCAAGGCAAGAAAAATAAATTTTACAAATCCTACTTTGGTCAAAGTCTGTATGATTTTCCAGACAATCCACAAACTTGAGATTCAAATTTAACAATTGGAAATTTTTGTTTTTCATTTAAAAATATTTGCTAATAAGTAAATGCTATCTTTAATTTCACAGATTCAAGGATTATTTGAAGTAAAAATAGTTGACGAAAAAAGAAAAGAGTAGGAGGGCCAGAAAAAAGTATTTGAGTGAAAGGAAAGAACTGTGAAAATGTTTTCCTTTCTAAGACTGGAAATGGTAAAGAAAGATTAAAGTAACTCTTGAAGCAAAAAGATTTTCTCTGTGGAAATTAAGACATTCAGTTGGTAAAACATGTGACAGAATTGAACTGATTTTTCTGATTTTGCAACTTTGATAAAATATCATCTTCTAACTGGTCTATTAGATCTAACTGAAAAGCTTAGTCATAAGATACTAAATTGAGTTGAGTTGAGTTTTAGTGATACAACAACAACAAATGTATCTTTTGGTAAGTACAATTTCCTAAAGTCAAGTATTGTGTATTAAAAAAGTAAAAAACTAAAAACTTGTTCAGTATATAATTACTGACATAAACATACATAAATAATCTGATAGTAAAAAAAGTAAGCGTACATTTTAAACAAACATTGTGATTATTTACACTACTTACATCATTTGGACTGTTGTCCTCAACTTTCTTACCATATTAACAATGTTTTGACTGTTGTACACGTTGACCTTCTTCAAGTGAAGATTTCAGTTAGAATTTCAAACTGAACCCTATATTTAGGCCATGAGGTTAGACTGTTCTAATTCCATGTGCCTTATTGGGATATCTTAGTTCCAGTTATTTCCCTTTAGGAATTCAACTTTCCAAGTTTTTGTTCACCTCTACTGTGGCCAGGTATTGAACTCACAACTCTTTGGGTCAAGTCACTTTTTGGATTACTTCAACTAACGCTTTTATCCACTGGGCAATGTGGAATTAACTGAAACTGAGATATCCAAATAAAGCACAGTTCAAAATTCCAACAAATATCACCTGAAGATGGTTAGAGCATGCAATGGCCAAAACGTGAATATGGCAATAAAGATGAAGACAACAGCCTGAACGATGTAAATAGTGTAAATAGTTACATACCTCATCTTAGAAATATAGACAAAAACACTGTGATTGTTTTCACTTTTTCAAATGTACTTATCAGCTGTCTATATGCAACATTATGGTAAATTTTTCTATGTTATTTCACTGTTGAAAGTAAAAGGAGCTGAAGAATTTTTTTTCTTGACTTTGAACCATCAATCAGAATTATCTCAGAAAAAGTATCTTTCTTGAAATAGTTATATTGCAGGGGATAATGGAAACATTGCTGAAGATGAGTTATCTGGTTTTTATTTATTTTATTTTTTTGATTGCCAGTATTATCCTATTTAATGTAAAATGTAAATTTAATGTATATTTAAATGTACATATTTTTTGTATATAATATTTTATAATTATTATTTAAAGTTCTTATTGTATGTGGATAAAAAAAAGAACAGGCTTTATATATGAAAGACTTGCAGCTGCAACAACCAAAGTTTTTTTGAACTTGGTCTTTTTTATATGAATAGAAAGAAAACCTATTTAAATTCTTTATTTGATCAAAAACAGAAAATGACATAAAAGAAAAAGATAAAAAGAAAGTAATTAAATAGGGAAGAAAAAAAAATTTCCAAGTCATGCATTTAGGAAGCTTTTAAAAAATAATTAAAAATATAAAAAAAATCATTTATTTATAAAGAGACAAAATTAACTTTTGTTTCACTATCTTTAAACAAAATTGAATTGTAAGTAATTGTAAATTATATTTAAAAAATTCAAAGTTAACAATATTAAAATACTTATTTTAATAAATGTTTAAAATTAGCTAACCTTAATATTCCATCTCTGTGGCTGGTTTTTATTTGACTGAAATTATTTCCTTTGCAAAATTCAAACAACTTTTTCTTTTGCCTATAATTGTTTTATTTTGTAAATGTTGAGACATGAACATAATTTTCATCAATTATTTAATAAAATAAAACCTAATCCCATTAGAATACTGAATGTGACTAAAAGTCCTTAAAAAATATCAGGTATTGTAAAATTTATGCCTACATTGTTGAGATTTCTTTGACAACCATTCCTAAACCCAGAAGGCAAATATTAAAACTTATTCATAAAAAAAATAAAAAATAATAAAAACAACTGCAAATGTCTTGGACTATTCCAAATCCAGAGAAATGAAGTTAAAAATTTAGCAGTTGTAAACATAAAAATGTCATTTTTTTTTTTTTAACCAACAAAGAAATCCCCAAACTTTTGTTTCTAGTTGTACATATGTAAATAATTTGAGACTTATGACTATAAAATGTAAAAAATTAATCAATTTTAGTATATTTGTAATCAAGAGGATGATAATGGTAATATTAGCCATTTCCCTACAAGGAAACATTTGGCATTCATTGACTGAACAGCCAGTACTGCTTTTGACTGAAATTATAAAATCTTTCTCTTAAAACAATGTTTCAGGAAAATAGGTTTATACATTATAGATGTTATTGCTCTTTCAAATATTGATTTTGTCCTTCCTACTCTTTTATTTGAAGTAGTGTGGAATGTCAATGATAGTACAGGGTGTGGCAGAACTATCACCCACATAATGGTAAGACATTAGCTAGATGGAAAACCACTGTCACTATGTATTAACCATTATGTGCAGGTATTTCTGCTACACCTTGTAGTTCAGTAGGTAGTTATAAAAAAAAAATAAAATGCAAAAAAGAAAAAGGTTTCTCTTCTTGAAATAATTTGATGATATCTACCCAAAGAGATTACAAGTTTTTTTTTTTTTTAAGTGCCAAGTGTAAAGTTACAAAAAGAATGTGTTCAATACAGATATTAAAAGTTTTTTAAAGTTCTAAGCATGAATATTTTTGTTGGAGAAAGAATTTTCTAAGAGTAAAAATAGCAATGATCAAAAGTTAGAAAAGAAACTAAGTATTGAAGAAGATTGTTTTTAACTGAACAACATTACCGACCAGCCTACCAACCATCCAACCCTATTTCAGTGATGCTATTTCAGATTTGACTCTTTTAGAAAGACCACGATGAACTTTTCCACCTTTATATTGAAAACAAAGTTCAAATGGTTCATTTTTACATTATGACAAACAATGATCACCCACAGATTAATGTAAATAACAAGACAATAATTTGCTTAAATGGATTTTGTTTGTAGGAAAAGCTTTAAAAAGATTCAAGCAGATGGAAAGAATCATGCCATTTAAGAGCAAAAGCAAATGTTAGTAAAAAGAAACAGTTTTGAAAAAATAAGATGGCATTTATTCTTTGCATAAAGACAGTAAATGTCTTACCTTGGCATCTGAATTTTCATTTTCTGAAAGACGAGTAAGCATTGGTGTATGTGACTCTAGTTCATGGACTGCGGTCAATTCTGTAGTGTCAAGATTGTGCACATGACCATTGCTGCTGATGTGGCTTGTAAGGGAAAGGTTTTGTGCCATACAGCACCTAAGCAGACAGAACACAGTAAGAAATACCAATTCTAGTTATTAATACAAAGTAGAATTTAATGAGACAATATTTCATTACTCTCTATATTAAGCAAATAAAGTCAAAATTCAAATGGCATCCTAAATTAGCGTTCATTATTCTAATAACATTTGTACTAATATATTCTAATGTTTGACCTAAGAGGAGTTGATCTGCAGTGACCCCAATATGTACTGGATTCACCCTAAAGATACTTATATAAGCTCTGTACTCAGTGTCACACTAGAATATCAAAAGAGTTAGGCTTTTCAGAGGCCTGACTTAGAAGGTACCCTTGTAGCCTCCAAGTACAGAATCAGGCTTCAAGAGATGTCAGTGGCTGTGCCAACATAAAACTGAAAGTCAACCCAGATGAACTCAGGATATACACAAACAGGGCAACTGGATGACAGGGAAGGTAGACACTCCCTCACATCCTCATGAGAAGACTGAATGCACATAAGTCCCCTGCCAAAAAACCCACATAGCCTCAGCACTGATGCTAATTTGACAGTGACTAGAAGGGAGTTAAGAATAATTTTATGTATGAAAGATTTAATCTTGTATTCTTATCAAATGTTATTAACACAACATTACAATATGATGTCATTAATGAAGATGCCATTAACACATTACAATGTGAGGTCATTAATGAAAATGCTATTAATGCAATGTTATAATACAAATGGATGTAAATTAACAGAAATCAGAATCTAATTCAAACAATTTCCTGCCTGATTGGCAAATGCAAACATCTTTTTTTTTGAGCTGATGTTCTTGACAAAAGCACGAACAGTTGTTTTGATACAGACATATATATATCTGCACTTGATACCAACAACTGTGTGTGTGTGTGTGTGTGTACATTTTTATGGTGACTGGAACAAGGCTTTTCTTTTTCTGATCAGAAAAAGAACAAGAATAAGCCCGAGTAAGACACATGACCAGAAACTAAAGATAATGAACAAAATAAAACCTAAAAGCCAAAGTTACATTTAAATATTCTACATTAAATTTATAGAAAAAAAATTCAATATTTATTGATAATATACCACAAAACAAGACATTATGTCAGTACATTAAAACTTTGAAACTAAAATTGTAAATTTCCAAAGTTTGATCAGGAAAACTGACAGTTGCTGCTCATGGTTAAAGCAGCCAATCTAAAATTATTCACAAGGGTTAACTATCCAAAGACACTTATCTATTATAATAAAAGCTTTATTTGATTAAATAGACTAGGTCAAAAGGAAAAACCAAATTTTACTTTACTCATATTTTGCTAAGATTGTGAGATCAAATATAGTTTTGTTAAATTTCATTGTCTATATGGCAGCCTATGCTGATTTGAAAAAGAGATCTCACATAAAAAAAAATAATAAACTGGGAAGCCATCTCATCAGTCTCAATAGTTTTTTTGATGGGCTTGCTATTCAGAAAATATTGCTGGTGATTACATAAAACCATGTGTACACTTAAATAATATTAATAATAATAATAATAATAATAATTAGGAGTTATGCTTTTTAGGGCAAGAAGGGCATCTAATAAAGTTTGAAATTTATGGATTTAGTTTTATTCATTGAATAAAAAATAAATTTTTCTTACCTGCGGCGTACAAAAAAGAAAACAATAATGATAACAATGAATGCCAAAACTCCAATAACGATCCCAATAATTATTCCTGTTTGAGAAGCAGCTGTGCTTTGGTTGGGAGCTGAAAGACAAAGAAGATGATTTTTGTTTATAAATAAAAACAATATCATCAAGCTTGCAGATAGAAAAATTTTTATTGTTCATTTTTGGAAAAAAATGATTTAAGCTTTGATTCTAAACACAGTAAAATTATATGCAAAATAAAAAAATCTGCATATTTCAACAAATCTTTTTTCTATTTGAACATGATATGTAAGCACATATTGTGTCAGTCTTTTTGGTGTGTATGTTGTATGTATGTAATTTTTTATAATAAAAAAACAAAAACATCTTAAATATGTTCTGCGAGTGCAGAGATTCCTAACCAGAATTTCAAGGTTTTGAAAGGTGTGGAATCTTACTTTTTCTTGTAATTTTATTTAAAGAATTTTATTTATTGAGTTCCAATACCCTGGCATTCTATTGAACGTTTTGTTTATTGAAGGAATAACTTTCTGTCTTAGGGTGTAAAAAGGGTGCATTGGGCAAAAAAAGGTTGAGAACCACTGTACTAGTGAAACAATGGGTACTAAAAAAAAAATAAAAAATAAAAGCAATACTGAAAAATTGGCTGGCATATAAATTCATAGTATATTAAGACATTCACTTCTTTGGATATATTTATACATTTATACCAAGTTTACATTGTTTTATATATATATATATATATATATATATATATATATATATATATATATATATATATATATATATATGGTGGATTCTCCTGTTGTATTTGACGTATGAGGGTCAAGCAGCTCAGTTCAAGGAACTGACAGCCACACACCAGCACATATGATATGATTATAGTAGTGAAGGCTTTGTGCAGAACCAACCACGCTTTTTGAGGAACCGAATAGAGATCTGGTGTACCATGTGCCACAAGGTCCCCAAACGATCCTACGCAGGTTTTGAATTCAGAGTTTTCCTTCTCCTAGACCAGTTGCCATCCAAGGCTATAGAACCCAGTCTGTTCTGCTATTTACCCATAGCTGGAGGGAGAAGATGATTAATACATTTCCCAAGGGTATTAGCATATAAATAAATGTAATGGATTTGAATGGAATTTGAATTTGGCTCTTCGATTCCTCAATCCGAGCCGCTATCCATTATTCCACTGTGCCTCCTTATATATATATATATATATATATATATATATATATATATATATATATATATGTGTGTGTGTGTGTACGCACATGTGCATATTTTCAAGACCTACACCTTTACAAAAATTACATTGTCAGCTTTTTGGTGTTTTCAAGAGATACTTATAGATTTGTGTTACAAACTAACTAATGCTTAGTGCTATTTCTAAACTGGCTTAGAATACAATCTTTTTTGTGAGGCATTTTTATATTTTGTGTTGAAGGTGTTGTTTAGCTTAGTCTATATGACAGAGCATCTGGTCAAAACCAAAATGGTGGCACCCATCATAAATTGCTGTCAGCGACTTCATAGTCATTTATTTCCAGTAAATTGCAATTTCCTAGTCTTTTTAAAATTGGACAGTCAGCAGTGCTATGCAGCAGTGAAAGTATTAAACATTTTGATAATTATGTTAAAATACATAAAAATATTAATAAAATCAAGCAACTACTGCTTGATAATCAAATATTGATTTTATTTAAAAAAAAAACAAAAAACTTTTAATTTAAAAAAGTGTTTGAAGTGACAAGTAGGAAAAAACATTGAAAAAAACTTACAACTGATGCTGGATGGAAGTGTTGTAGAAGCAGTTGGAAAAGGACTGTTGGTGATGTCAATGACAAAGATTTTCGAGCTGGCACCTTTGCCAGCCGTTGTGTTGGCCCAAAGCTTTGCATAGTAAATTTTATTTTTTAGGTTTTCAATAATAAGGGAATTTGAAGTACCTGTAAAAATATACAATATATCAAATGTTATTAAAGCAGACAAAAAACATGATAAAATTGAGAGCATCTAAAACAAGTTAACACTTAACTGCTGTGGAGATAGTTATACATCTTTACAAAACTTACAATGTTTGCCATTGACATATATACAGGGTACGTCAAAAATATATTTACAAACTTTGGGGGTGGGTTCCTCACACCAAAACAAGAACAAAAGTCCATATATGTGCACAAATGACAAATGTAACCTAGTCTACATGGCAACGCAGCACCATCTACTGTAAAAAAAATTTTTTAAACTCAAAAATGAAGGATTTGCAGACATATATTTATATGGAATTTTGTCTTTGTTTTGGTGTGAGGAACCAAAATATACACATTTTCAAGACAGTGAAATGTTGGTCCTTAGCATTTGTGTTATAAACTAACTAATGCTTAGTGCTATCTCGAAACCAGTTTAGACATATACTAGTATACAATATGACCTGTTCTGTGATATATTTTTTTTTATTATATTGGTTTATGAGTGTTGTTTAACTTAGCCTTTACTGCAGTGTCCGATTGAAACTAAAATGGTGGTGTACATGAGAAATCATTGGCATCTTTATAGTCACTTATTTCCAGCAAATAGTAATTTCTTATTTTTTTTCAAAATGTGCTAGTACAGTCAGCACTATAACACAGAAGTAAAAGTTAATAAGTTATTTTCCACACTGGATATAAACAGTATCTTTTTCATGAAGAAATCTTTAAAGGAATCAAATACCTTTTGGTTAGAAAATAAACAATGAAAATGAAATAAAATCAATTTATTCAGTTAAAACTGATACTAGTTATTAACTTGAAATCTTGGCCTCTAAAATTCTTGATACAAAACATTGACCTACAATCTTGTTCTCCTTTAGAAATTGCATTATTTTTAGTTTCAGAATCAATTTAATTAGTCCTATTTATTCATTGCTAGTGGAATGAATTTGTAAACAAATATGTTAATGAAAAAATCAAAATTAAAACATGAAATGGGAAAATAATGCATTAATTAAAGAGAAGTAAAAAGTGCTGACCATATTTTTGCAATTCTCTACAATTTTAAGATTTATTACAGAAACAAAGACATTTCTAATACAATTAGCCTTTTGTTCTCTTTAATAATATCATGGCTCTTAGCAGATTTCTTTTACTTTGTTATTTGTGAATTGCCCATGCTTTCTTGGGAAAGAAAGTGGAGTAGTTTCCAATTGCTTTCTCCACAATTTAGAATTCAGACTTTTCTTTCTCTTAGATTGGTTGCTATTTTTTAAATTTTTAAATTATTTTTAGAATTCACCCAATAGAAGGCTGAAGAATAACTCAAGGTCACTTTTAAAATGGTTATGATGAATGATGTGCATGATAAATGAGGATAAGGAGGACAGTTAACAGTTGACCCTTGCTACTCAGGATTAAGAGAACCCTGTATAACCTATTATTTAACCTAGTTTCTAAGTGTCATGTAACTTCAGGATGTAGGCGATCATGGCTCTTCACAGATTCCTTTTTCTTTATTATTTGTGAATTCCCAAGCCTCCTTGGGAAATATATTGGAGTGATTTCCCCATTGCTTTCCTTAGTTTGAACTTCAGGTTTCCTTCTCTTAGTTCCCATTTAGGGCCAGACAATCAAGTCTAATCTGCCATTTAACACCTTATTTTTAGCATCTTTAAAATAAAAATCAACAACACACTTTTGATATTTTATATAGGACAATATTTGTAAAAATATGAAAGGAAAAAAACAAAAGAACAAAAAAAAACAAACAAAAGTTTCCTGTGGTTGGCTATAAACATGCCTCAGAGTGTCTTTCCAGTCCTAGAATAATTAAACTGTTGTTTATTCATAGGGAAAATGCATATTTTGTGTATATTTAAGGAATAGAATTTTTTTCTATTCCATCTAGCAGTATTTTAGATTAATACTATCATAAAAAAAATCATACTTTTATCTTTTTATTAGGTGATTTATATTTATTTATTTTCTTATTATTATAGTGATCACCCAGTACAAAATACAAGCACCACTTAAGAGAGAAGGTTACTGAATGTTATTCTTGTTAAGGGCATACTAGAAGGAAGTAAGTAGTGTATACTATAAGGATATGTAGGTTAGATAATGATTGACCCTAAACTTGAAGATGTCAAAATTGTAGTGAGTAGGGAAGCATCCACTTGTGAGTCTGTTCAACAAAGTAACAGTTCTTGGGAAGAAGCTGTCTGAGTGGAACTTTCTCTTTACCGATATACCTACATCTTATATAAACCTGGTTGTCCTTGGCACTAGTTCTCAATGTTTGAGCACAGGTAAATGTTGTATTGCAAGTAGTATAAGTTTTTGTTACATATAGACAACTGATAAAAAAAAAACCAAAACAAACTTTCAAATGCACTTTTTTTTTTAGATAGGCCTTGTGCCAACCTAAATCAAAATCTATGCTTTAGTCTTTAAAAAGATGATTTATTCTTAACGACTCTTTAGTCATCAGTTTTTTTATTGCATTGTTAGTCTTCTTTAATTTTAAATTTATTTTTTCATATTATTTTTAAATTGCTAAATAGGTTATGCAAAAGCCTTTGATAAAGTATGTCACAAAAAACTATTGATGATCAACCTGTTTTGAATTCACAGTTGTCTTTCTCCTAGATTGGATGCTAACTAAACTCAGTCTGCCTTGTTATTTAACTCATAGCTAGGGGGGTGGGAGGTAAAGGAATGAATTCATGCCTTTCCCAAAGGTATCTGTGTGAAAGTGAATACAGTGACCTTGGTCAGAATTTGAATCTGGCATGACAATTCCAATTTTCCAAGCAAATAACCATTATCGTAGGTGTATGGTCTTTACTCCAATACACAAATTAATAATAAAAAATCCCTATGGCTAAAATGGTATAAAGACAATATACATATTGAAAAATTCTATTTTATAATAATAATAAAAAAATAAAAAAATAAAAAACAAACAAACTAAATTTTACTATTTACTACTTTAGTATGCTGATAGTATTTGACATGAAATAAAAATAGTGTCTTAGTGTATGGAAAAAAAATATACAGTTCCTGAAACCCTTTCTGATAGTATACCAAAATTATTTAAATCTGAAGTGTTATGATGTTGATTTGGGGTTAGTAGAGACAAATGCCAAATAACACGTAACAATAAAAAGGGTTTTAATAGGTTGGTGAAAAGGTACAGAAATCGCCTGAGTAGTCAATAACTAGCTCAGCTAAGAATTTCTCTGTCTATCTGTCTTCCCCATGTCAACTGACATGCCACTATTTAAAGTCTTTGTTCACAGACGCAGACAAGTTCATCTTCAAGAGGGGTCGTAGGTTTCCGACACAACATGAAGGTAGAATAACAAAGAGATAAACAGAAAGCAGCTTACCATTCTGAACAATCTGCGTCCATGCAGAATCAGGAAATTCCTTATCAGAACTATACAAGATGGTGTATGACTGGACGATCCCATTTGATTGAACTGGGGATGACCAGGTCAGTTCTACTTTACCACTGCCAATTAGCAACCAGTTTATAGCGGTAGGTGTAGAAGGAACTGTAAAAAAAAAAAAAAAAAAAAAATGATTCATTTTAGTGTTCAATTTTAAATGCAATGATTTTTTTTTAGTATTTTTAAAAATTTATTTTTAGACAGCACCAGTAATTTTTTTTAAAGCTGTAAAACAAAAAAATATTGAGGAAGGGGAGATGATAAACTTTGATAAAATGATGATGATAATGATACTTGTTTTGTATTCTTTATTCAAGGAAGAATCCTGCTTGTATAAAAATAGTTTTACAAAAAGTAAAAACATGTTAGCTAAATATTATACATTTTTCTACTCTTATAATTGCTTTTACTCCCTCAAAAGCTAAACTACTTTTAATGCAAATACAAAGTAAAAATGGTGTATTTAGGCAGCAAGACTTCATCCAAACAAGTTTTATTAAGTAACACTGAAAAATTAAATGAATAGTTTAACATTGAATGTATAAAATGAACTTTGGACAATTTAACATTTTTAATCCTGATGTAAAATTCACACACACATATATATAATATTTTCATTTAAACATGTTTTGTTGAATAGAGACATATTGTGTCTACTTATTTTTATATTGAAACTTTCAAGTTGTCTAATTAGTTTCTTCATATTCATCAAGGAAGGTGGCATAGTTTTTTTAAACTAAGTACATTTGGCAATTTCTAGGGTAAATTACAAAGACAAACATACTACTGCAATAAACTGAAAGATACACTTAAACATGTGTTTTTATATATATATATATATATATATATATATGGGCACATGGTTGATGCCTGGGTTTGAATCTTGCCAGGGTCAATATTTCAGGAAGGTGACTTCTTGATATCATTGTTCTGGGGAGGTGATCACAGCGTGTAGCACAGTAATAAGGAACATAACTAAAGAAGTACCTTGACGAAGGCTTTGGAAAGTGTCTAAAAACTATATCACAAGTTGACTCAAGACTTGTGAGTTAAATTGGGTAGATGTAACTATTTGGAAGCCATCGACAGTTGTGCTAGGACAAAGTCAAAAGTCACTGTGACCAATGGTTCAAGCTTATTGTCATTGTTCAAACTGTTGATTGTGCCAGATTATTTAACTTTCTGGCAGAGAAAGCATAAAGTCCACTCAGCATAGTTGCAGTATAAAATCTGGGTTGAAAAAGGAACAAACTCAAATGTTGCTTGAGCAGAGATTGATTAGCTGCCTTAGATGATGGATGGGTGTGTTCAGAAAACAAGTAGCTGGTCACTATATATATATATATATATATATATATATATCTATCAGTGAGTGTCTCCACAGAAAGCTGATCACAACTGCAAAACAAGATGTGATTTGCAGAAAGAGATTATGTTACTTTTTCATGATGGAGATGGATTAATTATGGAAATAACTGTAGTGCTTATATTAAGCTCTCAATAAAAAAAAACAATAATCCCTGCACCCCTATCAGAGATATTCTTTAGATTTGCATATAAATTAAGCCTGGGAGTAATGTTTGTAATAACAAAGTTATTTTTGATATATCCTAATCCTCTTTTTAGTGTACTAAAGAAAAAAAGTTTTGTTTTCATATTATTATTTCTATTATTATCTATAACTAAAATAAGGATAATGTAGTTATTTTAGGTTTTCAACAACAGAAATCGCAAAGTGCAAGACCCTTTTGTGCATTTTGGCACATTACTAAAAAGACTATTAAAAAGATTCCTTATAAAATTCCAATTAAAAATAGCAAGCAATGTAAGTATCTATATTTTTTTAATAAATATCAAACAATTCCAAGAAAGAACTGAAAATTAGAAGGCAATATTTGGGTGGAAAAGGATAAAAAGGGAATAGAGGAAGGTGGTGTGAGAAAAAAAAAAAAAAAAGATGAAAAGGAAAGCACTTCATTAATGTCACCAACAACAAATCAAATAACTGAAAACAACACACGGCCGTTGAGGGATGCTTTATTGATAATTCACAAAAAATACAGAGTTAGAAAGGAACAACTATCAACACAAAAGTCTTTGTGTTTTTTTTTTTTTTTATTAGTTTTGATTGGGTGGGGATGGAGGGATGACAATCTACATTACCTAAATAGACAAATAAATATTTTTCCGTTAATTTTTGCCGGTGTTACTCTGATTTATGGAGCAACAAACCTATTTTTTCTTTTTCTATATGCATAAAAATATTGATTATGTATATGCAAGCATTCTACAAATTAAAATAGAAATCATTAAAATAGAAAAAACTTTCATATTTGGTGGTAGCATTAGTCTAGATTTTGAAGGGAAAAATATATATAAAGTATAAATCAAAATGGGTAAAGTTCAATTTAATTGGGGAGGTTAATAGTTGGAAACAAGACGTATAGGTTTTAATGATATTAAATTTAATTTACAGAAGGCTATTGTTTTGTAACATTGCACACTTTGAAATTGTTATAGGAGAAACAGATTTCATTGGTGTAATCTGCTTAAATTTACATTCTTCATTGCTAGAGTTTCTTCAATTTAGTTACCAAATACACCATAAATCTTTCAAATTTGAATTATTTAAACAAAATAATTGTAGTAAAAAGGCCTCTTTACACTATAGAAACACTTAAAAACATTGACTGAGTTTCTAAATTCACCATTTTAATATTCACTATCACATGATATAAATAGTGAAATGTATTAATTTATCAACACTTCTATTTATTTTGAAGAGCTTAAACATGGTCAACTGTAACATTTATTTTAACAATCTTAAATCTGAATTGTTTTAACACCCATCATAAAGAAGCTCAGTATTTTAAAAACATAAAATTCTGTGTTCAGATACTGTGAGAAAATTATATAATTTATTATAAGTCCTAAATAAAAAGTAACTGACTATATATCAAATAATAAAAAGTAGCTGCTAATGTAAGTTTCGATACGACATAATTTTATGTCATTATTTTGGTAGCTTCAACTCTTTAAAAGCCTTCTCCAAATAACATTTAATGCCAAATGTTGGTATCTTCTTGCTAATATCGGCACAGTAGTCTTGAATCCAAGAACAATAATAGTCACACGTGTGTTCACTTCTCTTTTCTGAAAAAGACAAGAGAGAAGTTAAAATTATTAAAAGAAAAGTATTTTTCATTCAGATTAAACAATTCTATTCACTATTTTAGTGTGTATATATTTAAACTATTTACATTTTGGTAATGTAGTAATGTTTCTCCACTTAGCAAAATCTTCAATATATCCATTTCTTAGAGATTTAATACTGGTTTGATTAATCTTTAGCACTTTGCATTATTAATATTTCTTCCCTTTCCACTGCATCCTTTTTCGGAGTCTCTTAATTGCTATTTTTATTGTTAATTTCGCTCAAAGGTATTTTCTGTTGCCAACACAACTATGAAATCCAAACAAATTCAGGGATCAGAGTCATGTTCAGTGATAGGATAAACTTTTTGCTCAGCAAATGAAGTTACATAGAGAGTGATAAAGGTTTATACTTTAAAACTGGAAGCACCTAAATGTGCCCACAAGTTTCACAAGCTTACAGTGCAGGGAGCACCTGAATGTACCCTGGTAGCACTGTATTTTAACACTGTGTTAATGCCCATCACATGAACAATTTAGAGGCACTGAAAATCAGTTGTAGATTTCCAAAACCATATCTCATAACTAGCAATTCCAAAGAGACTAAATCTGGGATCACTTAAAAGAGAAATCAGTGTATTTACTCATTACATATTCATATTTTTCAACAATTCAGTCAGGACTCTTGGGATTTAACAATTGAAATTTCTTAAGGTTTGGTAAGGTTAAAGGTCACAGGCAAGAAAAGTTTTTTCTTCCAATATTTTACTTAGCCTTTCCTGACTCTAGTCTACATAAGCAAATGTAGGTCAATGGTTAGTGTAAAGTCAGTCTAAATGTTTGTTAGTTTTTTCTGACTATTCACTTAACCATTTATCAAGATCCAAATTTTTAATAGTTGGAGACAAAAGCTGATTATTTTTCAAGTTAATTTTTTAAAAGCTGTCTGTGTATTAATAAAATGTCATGTACACAGTAACAAATGAAATTCTTATATGAGCAGAATATATCAGTCAATTAAATCAGATTACTATCACTGTCAGTAAAGCTTATCTCAAGAAAAATAACTACATTTTTTGCAGTTAACACAGTATATATAGTATATGCATATCAACAAATCTTTAGTACATACTAAAGAGAGAAACTTAGCCAACCATGGTTATCAATATGAACATGTATTGCATTTTGATCATACAGGTTGAAGTTAGCCTATAGGATAGGGTAGTGGTTATATGGCCAACATACGAGTTAGATGTGTATTTGTATGTGGGTGTGCAACAAAAACAACACCATATCCTAAGAGCCAAGAAAATTTGGGAGGACATTAGCCTGGTTTAATACTGAATAATGAGAAATGATATTACATATTTTTATTTTTTTAAATAATATTTGTATATATATCATATTCAATTGGGGGAGGGGGTACCTATGAATAATGTTTATGTTTCACTTTACTTATAACTAACACATTTAGTTATTATATAAAAAAAAATATTTTACTTATTTTTATCATTATTATTTATGCTATTATTCTCAATTAAGACAGTTTTATTTCATGACAGCATAATTGTAAATCCATTATTTATAAATGTTTGTTTCATGCCATTGAGTTTATTATTTATAATGTAAGGGACTAGGAGGTAAAGTGAACCGTATAGATCAACTTTTTAATAACAGTTATTTCATATCTGTACAGACATTTGCTTTTAGAGTTAAAATGGTGGAAATTTAAACAAGATTTATTGCAATGATAGTAAATATAAGCAACATACAAATTTATGACTCTCAGCTTATATGCATGGCATATTTTGTCACAAATTATTCTTCTAGGTGACAACTTTCAATTTTATTAGTGAAGAAAATACTAATATCATAAAAATTAGTTTTTCAATATTTTCAGCACTTGTTCCCTTTTGAGAGGTTGACATAAAATGGAGATTTTTCAATCAGCCATTTTCAAGTTGTTGCAAAATTTGTGACAATTTCATGTTTAATGCAGTTCATTGATGTTAAAATTTGTATTCTAAACAAGAAACTTGTATTAAGTTAAATGGTGAATTCCTACCATAGTAAACTTGAATAAAACTTCTACAAAGATGGCAGAGAATATCACTGGTGTTATCAGAATCAGTGAATCTATCCCAGCATTGATCTGGAATAAGAAGGGAAAGAATAAGACGACAACAGATGTTGGCTTAATAACAAATTATTTTTAGGTCACCATATTTTTTTTAGTCAATGTTCAAATCAAGTGAAGTGGAGAAAGAATAAAGTTAAATAAAGTTCTGAATAGATTTTAAAATACAAGCAATGGCAGTAAAGTATGAAATGGATTAATAAAGGGAAAAAAAAAATAAAATAAAATAAAAAATTCATGCATTTTGTGTGTTAGGCAAAAGCTTTTTAGTTAACATTAAATTCCTGTCCATCCATAAAATATCATAATGTCATTTTTGTTAAGTAGATGTTAAGCATCTCATACCACCTTAATGGTAAAGAATAAATAATTCAAGTTGGTATAATCAGTGTTGCAGTTTCATAAAGTTTATTTGGGACTATAAAATATAAAGATATATATAAAAAAAGTCTAAAAATGAAAAATAAAGTATTTTCTGATTTAACAAACCCACTGTTGTTGCATGCATGCATGCATATATATATATATATATATATATATATATATATATATATATATATATATATATAAAATTGTGTATTTGAGCAACAATCACTCTTTTATACAAGTTTCATTAAAAATGACTGACAAGGTTCATTTTTCTTTTGTTCTTATAATTATTTTCTGGACATAAATTATATAGAAATTGTCTAAATGTTCTGTATATCCAAGTGCTTTCTGCTATACATTTAGCTATTATTAAGGGTTGTTTTATTTTTACTCTTAACTAAATGTATGAATTTGCATTAAAAAAAAAAAAAAAAAAAAAAATATCGCCACCATATATATATATATATATCCTTACTCTGTCCTAGACATTGAGTTCTACCTGGATTCTTCCTCTTGGAAAATTTTTTTCTGAAAATATACATGTATGGGTATTTTTTTATATATATTTTGCATATGTATGTATATTTTCCACTAATATTATATATATATATGAGAGAGAGAGAGTGGTGAAAAGATCTTGGGCCTACCAACTTGCACAGCTTGACTGAACATCATTTTAGTTAGGGAAAAGCTTCTTGGTAGTGCTAAGAGCTTTTCAAGCAACTCTGTGTGTATTTTTTACACACACACACAGAGTGTGCAATGGATAAATTGTCGTCTAAATTATGCAAAAATGAAAATAAATCTGACATCTCATTTTAACAGATAAATTTACCAAAATTACACAAACTATCTTGAAATACTAAAGAGTAAATTTATTTAATAAAATCGCCATTGGCTTCAACCACACCCTCCAGACAACTTTGGAATCTCCTGCAACTCTTCTGGAGAGTTTAAGTTGGTGAATGCTGCCATAATTCTTGTATTCAGTTCATCTTTGGTGTTACAAGGAGTTTTGTTGGTCTCTTGCTCAACTGCACCTCACACATAAGAGATTTTGGTCTGGGGAGTTAGATGGACTGATGTAAGAGGTGATGTGGTCACAGAAATTGTCCGACAGCCATGACTGGTTTCTGCTGCTTGTGTGACATGCTGCAGATTCCTATTGCAAGATACAGTCTTCCAGTAGCTACGTTCTTGACCCAGGGCAGCATTACCTCATAAATGCATTTGATGTAGGCTAACGTGGTGAGTCTGAGGACCTATGTGTAGATGAATGGAGGCATAATGTTGCAATCACTAGTGGTCACTCCAAACACTTTTGTAATCACCATTAGACTCATCCAACTTTTTCTGAATACTCTGCGCTGCCCTCAGATTGACAGCCAAACACTATGAAATGTTTGTATTGGAGCTCCTGGCATGAATGTCAAGCAGTACAACATGCTGTTTCTAAATTTCTGGCAGAGTGAATTGCATCATGGTGCTCATTTTCTCACAGATGGTGCCCAACTGAACCTACAGTTGTGCAGCCAACAAAATCATGAACAACAAGCATGTGCAAAATTAAAAATGTAAAATAATGACAATTTACCCATTGCACCCTCTGTGTGCATGTGTGTGTGTGTGTGTGTGTGCATATAAGTTCCCCATGAAAACCAACACATACAAGGAACATAACTACAGTTACATTGAGCAAAGTTTTCAGCCCACAAAACACATAAAATGGCTATGCATTTTAAGTGGTCTTCATTTTGTGGTTTGACAGCTGTAAGGTGGCATGTGATAAACCTTGTTGTTACCATTGTTGCTTAACTGTGCTCACATCCACTATCTGGTCTTCATAAACATTCAACAAGTGTCAATGTGTGTAACCTTTTTCACTTGGAGAAATTCAATGATACCTCTCCACTTCGCATGCACTTTCATGTATGACAACATTTTGTCAAAATTTTGGTATTTGTAATAAGGCAAGAAAAGAAAAAAAAAGAGAGAAAGGTTATTGATGGGTTGCTTCAACCTCTACTGCAAACATCTGCTTTGGACATTGTGATTGTGGGTAAACATAATAAATAAGAAGTAATTACTTTCAGACTGGCATGTGTATATATTTACCCCTTTTTACAATAGCAACATTTAAATATTAAGTTTTTAAAATGTTAATTTCTTAAATTTGACAAGTTTTTATTCACCTCTGGGATACAAGATATGGATAGTAAAATGTGTCAATACCTGTCAACATTTCACTATTACTCAATTTGGAAAGAACTAGACAATCAAATTATGGAATTACAAACTTTATTGAAATCTGAATAATGTATTTATGGATTAGTAAGACTTCTATCTTATTCATAACTAAAATTTACAGTTGAACAGACTTTAACTGCAAATCAATTCCTTGAGTTGTTTTTTTTTAAATAGGAAAATAGAAAAGTGTATTTTTCAAACAAATTTAACTTTGAATCTGGAGGTTTTCATATTGCTTAGAGGAGAGAAGAAATTAAGCTGTACACTAAAACAGAAATATTAATTAATGACATATTGTTTTTATACAACCTTGGCTGCTGCTGCTGTTGGCGTTATTGGCACCTAATAAAACCATCACAAATGACAAACTAATAACATTACTAAATCCACTAACCAGTAAAGTAACCTGCCATATTGAGAAATTGTTATGACTATCAGAATATACTTACAGTAAGATACAGGCTGTATCATTTGATACCATTTTCATTGCTTATCAACCCTTTTTAGGTTATTTAAAGCCAGAAGATTTTTTTGGAAATAAGAATGATTTAGTGATACAGATCAGACAGGGAGAAGGGGAATATAACAAACCCAACTGGAACTGAAACTTGGCTGATTAAAAATTCCAAGCCGTTATTCATTACACCACTAGCACATTCAAGCTTACAGCATCTGGTATTCCCCCATCTAGGTATTGACCAGGCTTGATGTTGCTCAACTTTGGTGATTGTATGAGAACTGATATTTCAGCATGATGTGGCTGTAAGCCTGCTTCTTGAAAGAGGAGAAATAATACAATTCTTTACTGAGGCTATGATATAATTATCAGCTCATGCTTTGTATCCAAAGATCCAAAAGTGAATGTATTATCTTGTTTTTGGACAGAGATGAAACAATAACGTAGAAAAGCAGAAAAACAATGTCTCATGCAAGATAAATTACTATGAAGTGTTCAGATTTTCAATGCAGCCTGAAAACATTACTAATATCCTTATGTATTTTCTTTTCATTTTTTTTTTTTTTTGTGAGTCCTTTCACTAAGAATGTATTACAGAAATGATAATTCTCTTCCCAACTAAATGTTTGTACAGAATCTTGATTCATTTTTCTGGATTTTTAAGAAATCCAGCTGTACTAGTTTTTTCTTTTGAAAGTGATATATAATCAGAATTATAGCTTATTTTCTGAAGTGATAAATAAATAGTAAACCTCACCTTGGAGAAATGGTTAACAAATAAACTAACATATAAAATATACAAGAACGACAAATTTTATATAATTCTCTTGACCTTTTGAATGGGTTTTGACATTTTTGGTTTTTAAAAAATTTAATATCTTGAATATCTTGATGTAAACGTTTTAAATTTGTTTGGTCTATTCAATTGAATCAAATTGTTTTTAAAGAAATTATACAAATAATAACATGTTATTTATATTTTATTACAGATGAAATGAGAGAAAAAAAAAACATAATTTAAGTATTTAAAGGATGTGATCATTTTACACAATTTTGAACATGGCTATATAATCAAGTTGAATGAGAGGATGACAAGAAGCAGAGATAATCTAACTTTTCTGATGGATGGACAAGGCTTTTGAAAGACAGGCAGGATAAAAATGCATGTTCAACTAAAAATGTTTCTGTTGAAGAGATATTTAGGAGTTGAGCAAGAGACTGTCATATTGATAGATGGAAGCCAAGAGAATGAAAATATAATTGATCTCTTTCAAAGAGAACCAAGCAAAGAAACCATAAATGTTCACTGAATAAAAGAAATTGATTGTAGCAAATAAAAACATTCATATGGAATTTAAATTCCAATAACTTTCTCACTAAGTTTTCTTTTGACATTCATTAAAATGACACACACACATAAATGAGTTAAGGAAAAAAAACAACAAAAAAAAAACAAAAACAAATTAGAAGATAAGGAGAAAGACAGATATAGAATATGGTGAGATAAGTGTAGAAGAAAGAAAAAACAACTATCAGTGATTGTAAATTGAAAGAAGATTTTAAAGGCAATGAAAAAGAGATTGATTATAAAACTAAAGAAGGCCATGCAACAAAAACTGATTAAAAAGACAAGAATGGAGTCAATGTGCAAAAGAAACATTACATAAATTATTAGCATCATTATAAAGAGATGTTAAAGCAAATGCTGGATAATGAAAGATAAAAAGAAAAGAAGGGATTAAATTTAAGCACGGTCATCTCAGTGATAAGTTTCAGTTTTATTAAATTTTTTCCTGAAATTGATTTGTAATACCATTGGTTCTTTAGACCAAACCATTAAAAATTAGCTTTTTGAATAATCAGCTTTGCGTTTCTAAGTTAAAATGGTGATTCTATGAAAAATTTGAATTCTTTAAATATTTGAGAGAGAGAGAGAGAGAGA